CTTTCAGAGGAGATAATATCCATTAAACATGGCATGTGGAACTAGAGCAGTCTACCCCAATGAGCGAAATAAAGGGTTCAATTCGACATTCCAATCACCTGAAGAAGGCCGGAGTGCACAACGGCCGAAACGTTGTAATAAATATGGCGACAAAGATGAATACAATAGTCCAAATAATGTAAATAGTGTACATAATACCTTATCTCAGAAATATAGACAGATACTGAAAGGCCGAAACGTTGTAATAAATATGGCAACAAAGATGAGGAGAATAGTCCGAATAATGTAAATAGTGTACATAATACCTCATCTCAGAAATATAAACAGATACTGAGTATAATGCTGACAAGATACATCTATGGTTACGCCTTCTGGGCGTTGAATCTGATAAGGTTATTTATTAACCTTTCCTCAACTTTTGTTGGGATACTATTCTACATCCTAATAACACCACACACACACACAATGCACACACACATACGCGCGCGCACACACACACACACAAAGTAATATTAATTATCAAAACTGATTCAGAGAGAGCTCGATATATTTATCATAACAAAATGGTGGTTGATGGTAGCTGTGTACAGACCGGCTTGAAGTAGACTATCCCTATGTTGAGGTAATTTTGTTTTTTTTGCTGTAAAAATTATATATATATATATATATATATATATATATATATATATATATATATATAGGAAGAAACACGTTAGATTAATAAACTAAGTTCTTTAGTATTTTTTTGTTTTTTTATTTATAAAAACAGTGCTCAATACATAAGAGAGCTTTTTAAATTATAATAAATTATAATATTTATAATACACACACACACATATATATATATATATATATATATATATATATATATATGTGTGTGTGTGTGTGTGTGTGTGTGTGCGTGTTTAAAATAATATGGAAAATTCTATCAATTTTTTTTTTGAATCTTTTAAACTTCCGAAAAGAGTTATAAATTTGACAAAATACATATTAGCTTTTATTTTATTTTTCCCCGAGTACTTTCGAATGTTACCCCATTCGTTATCAAGGATTGTTCTGTGTGTAGTTACGCAACTTGTTTTTAATTCCCACATGTCATGGAATCAATTTCAAATGTTTGCTGGAATCATTTTCAACTCACTCATCGAGACGACATTATAAAACGTGAGAACACTGAACAAAATTAGCAAAATATGAGCTTCGAACTGTTTATTCACAACTTCAAGCCCAATACTCAACACCTGAAAAGGAAAAATACAATAAAAATTTAAACAGGGACCTTTTGATTCTTTTTAATTAAACTATATATATATATATATATATATATATATATATATATATATATATATTATAAGAGAGAGAGAGAGAGTATGTATGTTAAAGAACACGCTTTTACACTTAATAAACTACAGATTAATATAAAGATATCTTTTTGTGCATTGGGAAACTAAAACATGTGTGACTCACTTTATTTCAACGATTTGGAACTGAACCGCAATATCTGAGAGTTATCTAAATGCATTAAAGGACCTAACAACGCGCGCGCACACACACACACACACACACACACACACACATACGCACACACATACATACACACACACACACACATACACACACATACACATACACACACGCACACACAGATTGATCCTGATCTGCGAAAGTTTGCGCATTGGTTAGAATTTGACTGAATCAAACGTGAGAACCTTTTGAGGAATCCAGAAAGAAATAACGACACTAAATTCATGTACGCACATCGTCTGGTCAGTCACAGCGAAAGATAGCTGTTGGCACCATAATACGTCGTTAAGTGTCTAAAGAATTTCATTTTTTTTTTTTTTCTAAAGGGCTGTTTCATACATAAACGCGTCGCACTGAACTACAATTTGTTTTGGGTTTTTTTTGACGACTTCATAAAGGCTATCTGTCGCTGTGACTGACCAGACGATGTGCGTACATGAATGCCATCATTCACTTTGAAATGGACACCCCGGCCCTCTTTCTTTCTTTTGACCTCTTTCGGAAGGTGACTGATACGTGGATACAAATTAACTCATATGCCCCTTATCAAAATAGTCGGCCCAGCCGTTTCCATAGTAATTAATTTTGCGAATGAACATGCTTATAAAGATGCGTAAATTTCAAAATTGGTTATTCCTAAATTTTCGCTTGAGGATGAAACAGGGCGTGTTACTTTAATTCAATTTAATTTTAATAATTATATTGAGGTTTTCGGCTCTCGTTTTTGAAACATGAGAACTCTTATGTAGCGAAAGAATCATATTTTTGAAAAATAATTATAATTTAAGCTCTACTTCTGTATGGAGCACTGTTTTTTAAAAATAAAAACAAAAATACTAAAGAACCCCGGATTATTTACCTAACGTGTTCTTTCCTATTTTTCTACATATTTGCACACACACACACACACACACACACACACACACACACACACACACATATATATATATATATATATATATATATATATATATAAACATACATTGTTAAATATAACATACAATGAATGTCTATTATGTTTCATCATGAGGCGTTCTAAACTTTGTAAGGTTGCTTTAATTTCTGGTGAAAATAAAGACAAAAATTGTCCAACATCTGGATATTTTTTTTATTTAGTTTTATTTTCACCCGAAATTGAAGCAACCATAAGAAGTTTAGAATGGCTCATGATCAAACATAATAGACATTCATTGTCTGTTATATTTAACAATATATGTTTAAATAATAATCTGCTGCTCCAATACAATATGTGTGTGTGTGTGCGTGTGTGTGCGTGTGTGTGCGTGTGTGTGTGTGTGTTAATATGGTGGCCATTTCATGCAAAAAAGAGGGGGACTTGTTTTAAATCATTGTTGTTCTAACTTCCCACAAAGTTCGGTGTACTCATGCAAAGGAAACCAATAAACAAGATATCAGAATATCTGTAAGGCAATATCCATCACTAAAATAATTAAATTTTATTTATTTATTTGTACGTTAATGCATGTATGAAACTTTTAATAGAAAATATTTGATTTTTGGTCATTAATTTTCCCCGTATTCTATCCTATGCAAGATTCATGTCTTCTAATGTTCTATTTATTATTAATAGTAAGTAAACATTAAAACTGATTTTAGTTAATTATTAATAACCAACAATGTCACAGGGGACAGAGCGAAAAATTCAAGAATTTTAAAAGAAACTTAATTTTAATTAAAAATTGAAATGAAATATCTTTTAAGAATTAATCTTTCAATTTATTTTTTGAGAGCACAATAATATAGTTTCTCTTTTTGTTGCCATATTTCACAATTCACAAAAAACTTTCTCAAAAGATTTTGCGTAAAGAGATATTAGACAAGAAATATTTACGTAAAATTTTATCTAACTACTACTGAGTTGAAATTGTCTTTCATTTATTTTTATCAACTGTCAATTATTAGATTTTTCTAATTGGTATGTTCAATTTTCTGTAGTTTTAAAAATAAAATACGGTTAAAAAATGTTTCACAAACGAAGCCATTTTGTCAACCTTATAATCTTTAAATAAATAAAATTTGTCGAATTTGTATATTTTTTTTCTTTTTTATTTAAACATTCCCTCTAACTGATTGATAAAACTTTGTGAACAATGGATCTGTCCAAAAGAAAATAAACTATGTATACTGTTGCGATTTTGTTTTTGTCGGGTAGGGGGCGTTAGTTGCAATCCTCGCCCCGGGCGCTACCAGACCACTGAATTACGGATAAATAGTTAACCATTGTCAAGGATTATTTTTGTTGTACTCCTATAATAAATCGTGTGTAAGTGCTGTTGTAGACAGTATAAAATTAGCTGAGAATAGGCATCTTCTTAATTTTTAAATACGGCCAGTACATTGTGGCCGTGTTTATAATAATTGTTCTTAAAATTCAGTTTCTTGTATTTTTATAATGATGGCTTCCATCATTGTTAAACGTTTTTGCATTGGGTGGGTCCTTCGCACATTCGTGTTCTCGATAAGTATCTTACATATTGAGGTCCATACAATTTCATACTGTTTGAAATATCCGTTTTCACTTGTTGTCGGGGATGTAATGAATATGCATACACCTGGGTTCCTTCTCACAGTAATATGATTGGCTGGTGTCAGCCATAAATACAGACTGAAGTGGAGGTACAGGACTACGCCTATAGACGACGCCTATTGGCTACACCTATTGTCTTCGCCTATTGCCTACGACCACGACGAGGACCAATCCATTACGGTTACCTGGTAGATTGTCCTACCCAGTTATAGTAGTCAACAACCACTGCGCTATTTCGAATAAATATATCCCTTTCCGGGACATATCAGTCGGAGTGATGTATCCTCAGTTATCCATATATATATATATAGAAAGAAAGAAAGAAAGAAAGAAAAAAAAGAAAGAAAGAAAGAAAGAAAGAAATAGTAGCAACTCTAATTAAAAGAGAAAATTATTCATTAAGACGAAAATGTTTAGAAAATGCTTTAATCGTCAGATCATCCGCAGTAAATCTGTGTCACGGTTCTTATAACGTTTCTATTATCAGAATGTGGGATATTTAATGGCAGAAATGATGGAAACAAAACGAAAGAGAATCTAAATGACATTGGTTAGATTATATAGCCAAAACATCATCTAAATTTAAAAGTCCTATCGTCTTTAAATCGTGTGCACGTGTAGGTGCATCAACCTAAACAAATCGAGTCCGATGAAATTCTAAGTGACGAAATTTGACTTTGTCAAATATATATATATATATGAAGAAAAATATACAGAAAAAACAAAAAATCTTAATATGCTATTATGCTGTATTAATGTTAATATAAAGTCAACGTCGGACGTTTCGGTCTATTTTAGACCATCATCAGGACATATTCATAAAAGCATAATTAACCTTAGAACATATAAAATTCAACATGAAAAAATTTCAGTTATCTGTTTGGATTAGTTGTGCTCTTATGTCATCGCCGGTTGAGCTGGCATCGATATGACTACCTATCCCGTTTCTCTAGGGGTACTACCGCGGGACTCTGTTCCCAGGGAAGGCGCAGCTGCTCCCTGGGACCGGGCAGCTGTTCTCCGGGACCAAGCAGCTATTCCTCGGGATCGGACAACTGTCCCCGAGACCGGGCAGCTGTTCCCCGCGACCGGACACCTCTCAGTATTTTTTCGCCATCTGTGCTCCGTCCGTGAGATAATATTCTACTACCTACACCAGATAACACTGTGTCAGGTAAGTGCTACTGTTGCTGCAGTATATGTGGTGCCTCTATTGGGTTAGGGGGTCTTGTGAATATTTGGCTTAGCTTTTGGGACAGCTTTTTACTACCGCATTACGCTCTAACGTGCTAATTAAAACGTTCGAGATTATTGAAATAATCTCTTAAAACTGAAATTTTTGCACTAAGGATTCAAGACTGAACTGATAATAGAATCATCGGATTGATGTTAAAGCTTCCAGTGGATTTGTTTTTTGTTTTTTTTTTGTTTTTTTTTTCCTTATACATTTATAGCTTGATTATCCAGTCAGCAAAGTACACGGTGGTCCGAAAGCCTTGTTACCCTAACCCCTTCCAAACTATCGTGTCAGCCATCTGAAATAGAAAATTGTACTGTGTATGGGGTGACAAGACTTTTGGACCACCCTATATTTTCTGACCTTTTTCATGACCTTGCGCCAGGCCTGTCAAATAATACAACCCACGTCCTTCATGCGATCTGCATGACTCCCCGGGGTGGCCAGCGTGTAAATAGTCTTTTTTTTTTTGTCTTAATTAGGCGACTGGTCGTATACAAAAACTTCAGTTTTGTGAAAACTTTTATATAAGTCTAACATGCATTGAATATTGTTACCACATCTGATCTGGTGTTTCTGCTATGTATTTATAGATTCTTGTTAAAATCAAAAGAATCTGCAATGTTACTTGTTCTAACCTGGCATCTCGATTTCAGTCACTTTTCCCAACGCCGTGACGTAGCATCCCTGCGCCTGGTTTTATAAATATTCTCACGGTAATTGTTCTGATGAATTTAATGGTTTAATCATTTTACAGTTAAAATGGCTAGATGTAACCGTAAGTTCTATGCTAGCAGTTTCTTCTCTCACAATTCTCGCTTGTGGAACCCTCTTCTGTCTTCTTGCCTTCCAGTCAACTTTGATCTTCAAAAGTTTAAATGCAATGTCAATCGTTATCTTCAGTCTTCTCAATCTCTGTTCTTTTATTGTTCTCTCTCCTTAATAATGTTTTTTTCTCTCATATTCTTTCACAGTCAGTAACCCCTTAAGTCTTAGTGGCTTTATTACCTTACTTGGGATGAAATGATTTTAAAAAGCATAACTTTATTCAGCTATGTCTATATTTCTTGAGATGAGATCTTCTAATTATTTACATTGTTCGAACTGTTGTCTTCATCTTTATTGCCATATTCAAGACGTTTCGGTCGTTGTACGCTCCGACCTTCCTCGGGTGATTGGAATTTCGAACTGAACGCTTTATCTTGTCCACGAACATATGGCGCAGTGGATAAAAGCGTTGGTTGGATCCATCGACTTGACACAAAGAGTTGTGAGTTCAATACTTGGCTGCGCTAATGGTGAACAAAAACTTGGAGAGTTTAGTTAAAGGGAAATAAGAGGCATGGCACGTGGAGCTAGAACAATCTACCTCGGCTGGATGAGGACAACAGCTCGAACAATATAAATAATTTTATTCAAATAAAATAGTCTTTGTATTTAATAAATTCTTTTAAATCCCCTTAGAAAAAGAAAACATTTTCGGTTCATATATATATATATATATATATATATATATAAATATATTAAATAAAAATTGCAGCACAAGAACTACGCAACCACCCTGTGTAAAAAAAGCTGGTAAGACCAACATTTTCGTCATCCTAAACAAATTGGATTACAACAAAAAACTTGACCACATACTCCATGATCACATAAAGTTTAAAAAACTTAACAAGAACCCGACCAAGCAACTAAAATCAAAGCTTAATAAACCCATTACGCCTAATAATGCTGAACAGAACTCTTTAAAACTCCCTAAAATTGTTGGTGATTATAGACCTAGTTACATATTTGGCACTATAAAAACACATAAACCTAACTATCCTCTCCGTCCTATCATATCGCAAATTCCAACTCCTGTATATCATCTAACAAAATACATTAATCAACTCATTACTCCCTACCTTCCTAGTAAATATAGTGTTAAGTCAACATTAGAAGTAATCCAAATCCTAAAAAGTGAAAAACCCAACAATGAAATCATAGCTTCACTGGATATAGAAAACGTATTTACCAATGTCCCTGTTAGTGAAACTATTGACATAATTATAAGAAATATATACAGTAACTCATCTTTACCCCCACTTAAAATTAATCCGAATATATTACGGAAACTACTATTAGCTTGTACTACGGAAGTCCCTTTCTTAGATCATAGTAATGATATATATATACAACGTGATGGCGTCTTCATGGGTTCAGTACTGAGTCCGACATTTAGCAATTTCTACATGTCGAACCTCGAAAATAAGATATTTACAGATGTTAAAAACCTTCCATCTATTTAAGATATGTTGATGATATCCTTATGTTAGTTAAAAATACAGATGAAATACTTCAACTTCAAAAACGTTTCCAAAATAATTCTGTCCTTAAATTCACATATGAACTCAATACTAATATTAAAATTCCCTTCCTTGACATATTGATAAACACAAATAATAACAAATTTACTATTTCGCCATACAAAAAAAAAAACTACCAGCATAAATTCATGCACACTTAACTACAAAAGCGAATGTACATATTACTACAAAATTGCAATTATAAAAAATCTAATACATTGTGCAGAAACTAATTCGTCTACAAAACAGATTTCTTACAGTGAACTAAAGAATATAAAATAAACACTTATTAATAATAGCTTTTCAAACTATATAGTTGAACAAATAAAATGCTTTCTTAGAAGCCTTAATACTAAACAAATAGAACATAATACTGCTTCAACTAATCCCAAACATATTAATCTCTTATATCGTAGTTAACTGCATACTAATTATAAACAAGATGAAAATATACTAAAAAATTTGTAAATACTAATATATCCACAACAGATCCTAGCAAAAAATTAGGTTAATCATATACTACACTAAATCTAGTATATCCAACTTAATTATTCGCAATGATTCTCCCCCATCACCGTTAGCGATTTGCAAAAAACCAACATAGTTTACAAATTCAAGTGCCCTTTGGGAGGTTGTATCTCCAATGGATTAAATAATATTTATGTTGGTCACACCACAAACTCGCTTTCACGACGCTTGAATCTATATTTGAATGATAACTCTAACATTTTTAGGCATTTAAAACAACATGCTTGGCTGCGTACACAATTCCAGAAAATCCTTGTTGAAAACATAACTATACTTAAATATGAAAACAATAAACAAAAACTAAAAATTCTTGAAACTATATACATAAAACAGTTGAAACCTAACCTGAACAAAATAAATTACGAAATCTCCACAAATAGTCTTAATTGCCTATAATTGATAACAGAAGCCATTGGTTTTTACCAACGGCTTCCCATACTTAATACTTCTCGTTTTCACTCTCGCGTCGTCATGTGTGACGTCACGAGCTGCGACGCGATTTTCGCTTCCGCGTCTCGTATACACGAGTTCGTCATTGCTTTGAAATTTTTCATGCAACGAAAACAGACTACCATTATTGATTCATCCGTGTATTGTTTGATATATTGAAAAGAAATTGTCACCTTTGCTAATGGCTTATGTAAGCCGAAAGCTTAGATTGGATTTAAACATGTATCAATATGATGATTTCCTTTCGTCTTTCAATGATAATGTTATTAAGATTATCATACAATATGAAAGGAACTTACTTAAAATAGACAAAACGTGTCTATATTATTTAATGAAACATACATTAATGAAAAATTGTTGCCTAAATACTCACACACACACACACACACACACACACATATATATATATATATATATATATATATATATATATATTCTATCACACTCAGTAATTTCACCCTAAAAAATTACTCTTGCATTACTCTTTTCACCCTAAAAAATTACTCTTGCATTACGCTATATTGTGTATTCCGTCATAAAAGCACGATTCCGATATTTATTTTATCGTTTCTGCTGTTGTAATTATTGGTACTGCTTATCAGACACCATATGTCGCCTATACCGAAACAAATGACAATATAGATGTGACAGATCTGGAGAAAATCCTATGTGTCGCATTTGTAGTATGACGTCTGGAGAGGTCAGATTATAAAATCACCAGGTTTGTTTCCTTGTTCCTTGCCGAGAGAAAGAACTGTTATGTTCCAGAGTGTTATTCAACAGAGCCAATTACTCATTAGTAATTGTCATTCTTTAGTTCCACCAGTTCTACCCTTCACGGCTAAGACCGGCCATGCTACGCACATTGTAGCACACCACCCTCATACCCTTCGTATTACATTGGTGAGATTAAGTTCCACTCGAACTGCTTCTTCCCACGAACTATTGCCTTGTGGAACCAACTCTCAAGAGGATCCTTCCTCGATCACTATAATCTTAACCTGTTCAAGTCTAGGGTTAACCGTTATCTTTCCTACATATCCTCATAAACTGTGCCTTTTACACCGTAACCGTCTATCTCGAGTGGCTCCTAGGGAGAACATCAATGTAGAAAAAAGTCCGAAGTTTCTATTTGTATCACAAGTATAAAAAACAGCCTTCCCCTTGTAGATTCCGATAATGTTCGACATTTTGCATTTGTAGCTTAACTACGGGAGATGCCTGACTGTAAATCCACCAGAACGAATTCGTTTCTTGCCGAGCAAAGGAACTATTATGTTCTAATATGTTATTCAAACATACCATTTCCCGTGATTTCTATGTGGATTAAACCAAGCAGGGAAGACGCCCTCCCATCCACAGTAGATACCGTTTAGGTTTAAATGTTAAAGACGTTTATAAATTTAAACTTACTTTGCGAAGACTCTCATAGGAAATCTATTTTTCATCTTTGCAGCACAATGACTTTTCTCTGTGTTGAACAAGAATGAAGACAAGTTTTTAAACCCTGATCGAAATTCATGAGGAACCAATTTTTAACTT